ATCAGGCCTCTTGATATGTGGCGGAACTGACCTTCGAGGTGATAAAGGATAGACAGCACGCAATGAACCAGTATACGGGAAATTTGGAATATATGTCTCAATCCCTATGATATAACGAGTTATAAGTAAGAAACAAAGAATTTATTCTAAGCATAGAATTCTTACCCGTAGTAGGTGTATTTGTTTTGTGAAGAAGTTTATGCGTGGACTGTAAATGTAAAGTATACGTTATATGCTTAGGAAAACTACAATTTTCATTTCATTAATAGAAGTCTTAATTAAGAATTTACCCAATTCTTTTTGAAACATTCTTGTGAACAAAAGTAAGAACTAATAATGTTTAATTTCAAGCAGGTAGGACACTGTAGCTTTGAGGGATTTGTGCAGTCTTGCCCTCGACAGAGTTGACCACTGCTCATTATTACAACAAAATCTCGTAACAGTAAACGGTAAGCTTCAGACTTTATATATAATCTTTTAAAATCACATGTTAATCATGAATTGCTTTTACGTATTTAGCGGGGATTTTGTTATTTATTCCCAAATTTGTTATTCATACCCCCTGAATACGTATAAACTTTGAACGAAGTATCTTGACAACTATGTTAATTTTAATGAATTCAAATAAAAAAAATTCATCGAATTTAGCTTGGTGGTTGTTGAGTTATCTTCACTCAAAATTTTAAAAAATCCAAAACGTCTATCAAAATAAGAGCTGCAAATTTGTTATCGTTATTAAACTTAGAGCGAAGATATCTCGACACACCCCAAGCCAAATTCAATGAACTTTTTTTTATTTAAATTCTACGAAACTGTAGAATTCAATAAAAAAAAGTTCATTGAATTTGGCTTGGTAACTGTCAAGATATCTTCACTCAAAGGTTTAAAAAATTTCAAACCGTCTATCATAACCGCAAAACTACTATTCCTGATGGATCGGCGGTACCGATCCTGATAGGGCAAAAAAAAAATTCGATATGCATACCGTTCTTGATGGATCAATACTATTCCTGATGGGATCGTCGATACTGATCCTGATGCTGTATATAGA